CTGGGAGAAGCCAGCTTCAGGTTAACCCAGGCCAAAGGCTTTGTGTGCCTTTGGAAAGGGCTTGCTGGAGCTGGTTGGGCAATTCCTGGCTTTGGCTGGTGTCCTGGTGGGAATGCTGGAAGCGCAGGCTGAGTCAGGCTGGGAGGCACTTGCAGGCATCCCTGCTCTGACCTGGAGCAGCACCAGTGAGGTCAGGCTGTGCAGCACCTGGCCAGCTTTGAGATCCCACCACCCCTCCGGCCCTGGTCCTGTGCTGGATCACGCTCCTGGTGAGAGAGCTTTTATTTCCCCATCTCTAATTGCCAGGATGCCCTTGCAGTGCAGAAAGGGATGGAGGATGCACGCTGGCCGGGAAGCAAGGGGCTTCCCTTTCCTCCCTGTGTGTAAGAGGCAGACGCAGGCTGGGTTTGCAGGACCTGTGTGTTTGTTCTCTGCCTGTCCCAAAGCTCCTGCATGGATAACAGGGGACAGTGGGGGCTCCAGGAGCCTTCACTTTCATTTCCTCCCTGACCCCAAGCACTTTCTATCTGAACACGGGGGTCTCTTTTGGATCCAGGCTCGGGGCTGGCAGAGCTGTGGGAACCCTGATTTTTGGGTGGCTTTGTTGCTGCGCAGGGGTGGGAAGGGGCGATGGGGCTGCCCACGCTCCCCATGCAGTAAGGTAACCCCACAGCACAGCTCTGTGTGCAATGCCAGGGCTGTGGGTGAGCCCTGTGGTGCCTCAGCCCAGGCTGCCTGCATCCACACATCAGGGGATTGAAGCTGTAGCCCTGTTGGTCCCCAAGTGCTGCAGCGCAGCGATGGGGATGTGACACGGCAATGGCCACCTTCCCTCCTCCCATCCCTTGGGGGAGAAAACAGCTTTGTTTGTGTTTGGTGGTGAACATCTTGGCCAGGTGAACATCCAGAACCTGCTTTTGTGCTTCTCAGGGGGTTGGGTTGGTCTCTTAAGCTCCCTGTTTTGACGCGTCCTTTCAGAGGCATTTTGCATCGCTCCTGACCATGGCTCTCCCCCGTGCTTAAGGGGGTGAATTTGGATGGTTGACTTAATTATACTTTCCCCTCTCGTGACCCAGTGGCCCCAGCTACTTGGGCTGTGGAGCTTTAATTAAGATGGTTTTAAATTTAACGGGAGTTGACAGGGTCAATGGGAGGGGCTGGGACTTACACATGTGGGGAGTGTCAGTGGGCCCCATGCAGCAGCTGTGCTGCCGTCCTCCACCAGCGATCCCTTTCCTCTGGGAGAGTTTTCCATGAGCTGGGATGCCTTAACCCAGGTGCCTTTAACATGCAGTCACTGGGCAGAGTGGGGGCACCTGCCTGCGGCTTTCCCAGTCCCTGAATTGAAGCTGAGAGATGAATTGAGCATCTCTGCATCTCTCCTTCTAAAATCAGTGCAGGTGAGAAATGAGTGTCCCTGTGGAGGAAAAGGGCTGCAGGCACGATCCAGGCGTGCCCTTGCCATGGCAGCTGGGCAGGGAGAGGATCCGCAGCATCAAACCCTGGTTTATGGGGCTGGGGGAGCAGCTCCCCCTTTCCCACCAGCACCTGGGACTCAGGTGGTGCAGCGGTGCCCCACTGCAGTGGTGCTGGTAGAGATGTGCCTCTGTGATTCCCTTCAGGGAAAGCCCAGGAGCATGGGACAGGAATTGCTTTTTCCATGGGGGACACAGTGACCTGCTGCATTCAAGTGGCTGCACCCCAACCATGATGTTTGCCATGGGAAAAGGCGAGACTTCAGCAGCATGCCCTGGGACCAAGGGGAAGCTGCTGTATGAGCGTGTCTGCGGCTGTGTCTCCTATCAAAATGTGGGGAGGGAGCAGGGGGTGATGTGAGGTTGGGGACAGGATGGTGTTGGCTGTTCGGGTACCACCTCACTGTGGGTATGGCAGCAATCCACCACCCCTGGCATGGTGCTGACCCTCTGTCTGGGTGCGGGGACATCACTGTCACCTTGTGCTGCCTCTGCTGGGGGACACAGGGGACAGCAAAGTGCATTTTGGCTCTTGGCTGCCTGCCTCTAACCCCCCATCTCTGCTGTTAGAGGCACACCTTGTAGATGGCTTCTCTTTGTCCTGCATGGACTTGCCCTGGCTGGACACCGTTCCTGCTGGGAGGGGGGTGGTTGTGTGCACAGGGACATGGAGCGTGTCAGGGTAGGATGGGGATTGCTGCTCTCTGCTCCTTCCCATCGCCAGTGCCTGTGGGCTGCTGTGGGCTGGGTGCTGCGAGGCTGCTTTGTCTCGCTGCCATCCTGCATGCTTCATTTTTCAGTCTGGTGCGAGACAGTTCATGTTATTAATCTCGCTGGGGCTTTGCAAGCCTCGGCTCCCACCAGCAGCGGGTGAGCACTGGTGCCCCCAGCCCCTCGCTCGCCTCTCCCCCAGCACCCCTGCTCGGCACCCACCGGTTTCTTTGCACCCCAAGGACGGAGCTTGTTTCACAGAGACATCTCCCTCCCCAAGGCTCCGTGTCTGGTGTTGGGCCCCAGCCTGCCGCAGCCTTTCCCAAGGTTTTTGCTCCCGTCTCGCAGAAGCCGCGCTGCTGTGTTGTGTCTGCTCCCAATCAGTGCCTTTTGTTAGTGTCTTTGAAAAGAAGATAAGATCGCTTCCTCCTCCGCCGCCAGCCCCGCTATCAGCCTGGCGTTACCATGGCCAGTATCCTTGAGCGATCCGATCCAGGCGCAATGGGAAACAGCCAGAGCAGGACTTGCCGGAGAGCAGCCGGTTCCCCTCACTGTGCCTTTGCGAGAGCATCTCTGTGGGGAGGTAGGGCAGAGGATCGAGCCTTTTCCTGCATCCCTATTTGCAGTTAATGTGGGGGGGTACAAGCCGTGGGGACACGGGTGCCGGAGGAGCAGGGATGCTGGGCAGGTCAGGCGGTGTTCCCAGCACCTGGTGGGGATGCCGCTGCCTTGTGTGATCAGAGCTGAGTTGTGCAGCCGAGTGGGCTTCATCTTTAATTGCTTTGGAGAGGGGAGGGCGGTGGTGGCCTCTTGGTGCTGCTCTCTCCTTGCGGCGGTCTCTGCCCTGGGCTCAGCCCCTGGCACCTTCCCCTCTGGCTGCAGCTCATCCCATGGGAACGGGGGGGCTGGAAGACTCTGGGTGCAGAAGGCAGCAGCAGAGGTGGGGGTGGCAGTGCTGGCAGGCTGCTCTGCCAATTCCAGACACTAAATACCATGGCTGCACTTGCATCCCTCATGCTCCCATTCAGCACCAAGTGCATCCATCCACCCTGCAGCCATACTGGGACCTGTCCCTTTCCCTCCGGAGGACTGTGCACCCACCACCCCAACACGTGGCACATTTGGGTTTGCCTGGTGCCTTTTTTTGGTCCTCTTTTATCTAAACATGGGCTTGAGAGCCCAGTGGCACAGCATTCAGGGGTGACAGGGACACGGGCACCACGTGTGTACACAGCACAGCCTTATTTGTATGTGCTGCAGCCCAGAGTTGAGACTGCAGCTTCCCCCCCACCTCCCACCCTGCTGTGCAATTATTGCCACTGAATATTAGTCAAGTACAAATTACAAACCATACAAAGTCTCACAGAGCTGTCAGTCAGCTGCTGCTCATTATCCTAATCAAATGCACCAAAAATAGTGACAAAACTTATTAGCAGGGGGAGTGCATCAAAATAAACCTGTGGTGTGGCACATCCTCTGTGTGACAGTCACTACCCCAAGCACCCACCCAGTGAGAGCGATAAGGGGGCTGCCTGGCATGATGCTGACCCCACGGAGGTTTGCTTGGTGGTTTCCACCATCACTCCACAGTGTTTGCAGCATAGTGACAGTGTGCTGTGGGGCTGTGTGCTGATCTGGGTAACACACAGGCTGAGCAGGTTGGGCTGGGGCAGGGGAGGCAGTGATGGCAGCTCTCAATGCTGGGGGGGGGGGCAGCAGCTCCTCCTTTGGTGCTGTCTCTGTATGAGCCCTCTCCTTGCTACGCCTTCAAGGTTGATGGCCCTTGTGTGAAGGCAGGAGGCTGCTGCTGCTCTTGCTTCCAGGCTTGCTCCCAGCAGGGTTAGATGGCAGGGCAGCAAAAACCTGCCTGCCCTGTCCCCATCCCTCTGGGATGTTCCTCCTGGGTGAGATGTGAAACCTGGGCTCCAGCCGGGGCAGGAGCCTGTGGGATGCTGCTCTGGGATGTGAAGCTGGGGGTGCCACGGGGGTGCCACAGGGGTGCCAGGCAAGCTGAAGTCTGCCCAGCATTAGGTGAGCAGGGCTGGCTGGAGAGATCTTGCTGTTGGTAGAATAGCAGGGCGAAGGGACAGTCCCTGCAGGATCTGGGGGCTGGGAGGGAATGGCAGAGCCAGATGAGTGACTACCCTGGCACTTCCCTCCTCTGCTTTTCCACCTGAATCTCTGCCCCAAGCCACTGCTGCTGCGAGGCATCCCCACATCACGCACTTTTGTGGCACAAAACTGTCCTTTTTGACAGAATTGGTCAAAACGTGCTTTTCTGGCTGAGTCAGGGCTTGAGCTGCATGGTTCCTGCTGTAGCGTCTGTGTGTGTTCTTGCCGATGGAGAAGGTGACTCTCATCCCTGGGGACAAGGTCCCCAGTTGGTGGCCAGCCCTCTCTGCCCCCGGTCCCGGCTGTCCGGAGAGCCAGGGCTGGGAATGCTGGTGTGTCCAGAGGAACCGGCTTCACTTCACACACACACCCCCCCTCCGAAAACCCCTGGGTGGGCCAGGAGTGCCTTGTGCTCCCCTCTCACCCCAGGGCATCACTCGGGGTGGCTCCAGCCGCCTCCTCTCCCGTCCGCGGGTGGGTTTGATGAAGTGGAGCAGAGAATTGTCCCCTCTTCACACATGAGAGATCAGAGCGCGCTGCTGGGGCTGCCGGCCCCGCGCTGGAGGGATGCAGGAGGAGGAGGAGGAGGAGGAGGAAGGCAGCGGGAGCCCTGGGCGCCAGACCGTGGCGCGGGGGGAGAGGGCGGCGGGCGCTGCGGGTGCTGCGGGCGCTGCCGGCGCTGACGTCCCCTCTGTCTCGCAGGCTGCAGCGGGAGCTGAGCTGACTTTGCCCGCGGCCCCTCCCCACCCGGCGGCGAGGCTGCAGCCGGGAAGCGCTGGTAAGACCCCTCCGACGGCCCGGGAAGGGGGGGACCGGGCTGCTTGGCTGAGTGAGCCCACTTAGGACAAGGGAAACCCTCCCCACCCTCTGCGGGGGGCTCCGGTCTGCGGTACCGGGTGCCCTGCAACAGTCCCTTCGGGTGCTGGGTGGCACAACCCTCCCTTCGTCCTTCCCATCCCTCGGAGCTCCCCACAGCGTGGGGGATGCAGAGCTGAGGCCCTCCCAGCTCAGCACCGCGATGGTTTGTGCTTTGCCGCTGGCGCTGACCCCCGGAGCGGAAAGCAGGGGAGTTCCTGCAGGCTGCGACGTGCCCGGGGTGCTAATCCCCGCCGCAGGAACGCTGCTCCCTTCGCCGCCTCGCATCAGTCAGAGGCGAGCACCGGGAATGCTGGCTGAGCTCCAGCCTGTCTCCACACAAGCCTTGCGAGGGGAAGCCCTGCTGAAAGCCGAGGCACCGGCCGGGATGGGAGCGATGCGGAGCCCCCCGTCCCAGGACTGTTGGCTGTGAAAAGCATTGGAGCAGGGAAATATCCCACCAGGCATGGGTGCAGGCAGCTCTGAGCATGCCTGCAGCCTGTTACACGTACAAATACCCTACATGAGACCTAAATACAGTGGAGCCGCTGGTGGTCGGTATCTTTTGCAGTCCCACAGCTCCTCGCGATGCTGCTGGGGTGTGCTGGGAGCTGCCACACCAGGCAATGGGTCCGTTCACTTCCTTCTCTGCCCCTTGGCTCTGGGGGTCTCATTGCCAGCTCTGCTGGAGGCAGAGGGGTCTCTCCCTGCTGCCCCTCCGGGGATGTGACTGCACAGCACATTCCTGCTGTCTGATAACTCCTCTGCCAGGCTCTTGCACAACCCCTGAGTCCTCCAGGAGGAATTTGCACCCTTTCCTTGCCGGCTTCCAGCACAGCGATGTGGGGGCTGCAGGGGCTTTCTGGGCCCCCCCACTCTTCCTTGGGTGAAGGCTGGGAATGTTCTCCCCAGGGCAGCCGCAGGGCTGAAGCTACATGGTCACATTGGCTGAGTTCCCTGGGACTCAAAGGGGGGATAGTGCGAGGCTGCCGGTGCCTCTGGGCACGTTTTGGGGTTGCCAACCCACATTGTGCAGTAGCCATACTGAAGCAAGTGCTTGCAGGTGTTCAGGAGCAGGACAGCTCAGAGCAGGGGTCACTGCTCTGTAGCACCTTCCCCAGAGGACCATGGCCTTGTGCCTCCTCCTCATCTCCCATCTTAGGCTCCTGCAGCCAAAGCCCCAGGGGCTGGATTTTGTGACCAGCACAGACCCAGCAAAGCCCTTGCAAAGGGTGATCAGCACCCAGGCACAAGCGGGGAGCTTGTGTTGTGTATGGAGATCTCTCCCTCCCCAAAGCCACCGTGCAAGGAGGGATGAACTCACCGGCTGTGATGTCCCTGACCAGGACATGCCTGAAGGATGCATGTTCTATGCCTGCAGGCTCATGGGTGCGTAGGGAGGACCCCCCCTTGCTTTGGAGACATTGGGGAAGTGCCTGGGGGATCCACTCTCCCTTTCCTGTGCTCTGCTCATGGCTAATCTCTTATAATGACTATTTTACACTCTTGATTTGTCTCCTGATGCTGGTAAATCAGTTGCTGGCCTGGGCTGGCAGCCCCGCGGGGTGCGCTCAGGGGACCCTCGTGTCCCCGAAGTGCTGTTAAATCCGCTGCCCGGGCTGGGTGTTTTCCTGCCTGGGGAAGTGCTGCTTCCAGGGGAAACTCTGAGCAGCTCTGCCCTTTGCTCACGGTCGCGTGGGCAGTCACAAGCTGCACGGTCACAGCCGAGCAGGGTCCCGCTTTCCTCCCTGCGCATCCCGGGAGCACCAGCGGGTACCGGAGCCCAGGGTGGAGGTGAGCAGAGGGATGGGGAGGATCCCATGGTGAGATCGCTTTCCTTACCGATGGGGGCTTTTCCTTTTTGTTTCTAAGGTCCTGCTTTCCTCCTGCAGTTCTGCTTTAGCATCTTCTGCACCAGGCTTTTAAAGGCGTGTTTATTTATGGGACAGACTCTTCCTCTTTGCCACGGGATCTGTCTCTGGATTGGCGGCAGTGACGATTTGCAAGCATAAAGCTTATATTTGACCTTCCCTTTGCTCTGAGGTGCCCAGAGCCCAGCACAGATACACATGGGTCATGTCCCATGGCAGATAGAGGCATTGGTCCCTCCTTGTTGCCTGCATCCATAAGAGGAAGGATGGCTTCGCTCCCTGTTGGAGTGGCTGTTGTAGCCATACCCAGCCCGAAAAATCACTTCATTGATTCCCAAACCCTGGCAAGGTCTGTTCCCAACCACCAGCGTGGTTGCAGGTGAAGCAAACCTGTGTGGAAGCGGGACAGGGAATGCTGCTGCCCCCCTGTGCAATCTGGGAGCTGGAAAACAGCACATGGAAGTTGGGTTCTTTGGGATATAAGCCCTGATTGCCAGGCAAAGCCCTCGCCATGGGGAGGGGAGCTGGGAGGGGTGCAGAGCTTGTGCCTGGCACCCCTAAGCTTCCCCATGGCAGGAACTGGAGGGCTTTACCCCACCCCTGCTGGGGCTGTGGAGGCTGCTGGAGCTGCCCCATGGCCCCGGCCCCACTCAGAGGGGCTCAGCCCAAGCCTCCGTCAAAAGCTGGCTTAGAAAAACCATCTGTTGGGTGAGGCTGAGCCCTTGGCAAAGCCTCACGGGTGGCTGCATCCTGGTCTGCACCCCGCGGGCAGCGGCTGCCTCCTCCATTCCTTCCCTGCTTGTTTGCTCTTATCGGAGATATTTTCCTCCTTGGTTGTCTCCACCTCCCTTTTCCCTCCTGCCATGCGTGATGTAGCATAAATATTTCCTTCCATAGCTTCAGGACACTGCTGGGTATCCTGCTATCTTTGGAGACTGCAAATAATTCCCTTCCTTCATTTATATCGTTACCTTGAAGGTATTTATAGAGCATGATCTTGAGTGGAAAGGAAGGCATGTCTATATATAAAGACAAGATCCCAGCTGCTAACTGCCTGAAACTGCTCCTGATTTCAACTTTTATCCCATTTGCTTCACGTTTCGGACTTCACAGGGACATCCTCAGCATTTAAATCCCCATCCTGAGCAAGCAGAGTGATGGGTTCTCCAAATATCTGCAGTTGGAGTAATCCAAACTCGTGAATATGGCCCGGGTTTGTCTTCTCCTGTCCGTGCCATGGTAGAAGCCCTCGTGTAGGAGGAAGGGTGGCTGTATGGGATGCTGAGTTGCATCCCATGACGGGTGCCTGGCCCTCAAGCAGCCATGTTCCCAAGCACCAGTCCATGCTCCACACTCAGCATCCTCCCTCTGCACTCCCACAGCTAAGCATGCTTCCCTCTCCGCTCCCTGTGTTTTCCTTGCTGCTGTGGCCATGCAGGAGGTGGCTTGGTGTTAATGAGGAGCGATGCTATCCCAGGGCAAGGGCAGGATGGCCAGACTGGTGCTTGAACAGACTCCAGAGGTTGTTTTGTTTCCTAGTGGGCAAGAGTCTGTCACACAAGTCCTGGGAAGCAACTTCTTAGGGATAATGATAATAAGAACAACAACAACAGTAGTCTTCTGTGTGTCTGTCTCCTCCAGCCTGGGACCATGGGGAGCAGCAAGAGCAAGCCCAAAGACCCCAGCCAGCGCCGGCGCAGCCTGGAGCCCACCGACAACACCCACCATGGGGGCTACCCAGCTTCACAGACCCCCAGCAAGGCGGCTGCTCCCGATGCCCATCGCACCCCCAGCCGCTCCTTCGGGACCATGGCTGCCGAGTCCAAGCTCTTTGGAGGTTTCAACACCTCCGACACGGTCACATCGCCGCAGCGTGCCGGGGCGCTGGCCGGTTCGTGTGGGCTGGGGCTGGGCACGGTTGGGGCTTTGTGGGTTTGGTTCCAGTGATGATGGGGTCTCCTGCTTTTGGGCAGGAGGGGGAGCAGGTCGGTGTCTTAGGGGCTGGTGGGAGAGGAGGGTCCGGTGGCTGTGCCCATCTTGAGTGCTCTGTGTCGCAGGTGGAGTCACCACCTTCGTGGCCCTCTATGACTACGAGTCCCGGACCGAAACGGATTTGTCCTTCAAGAAGGGAGAGCGCCTGCAGATCGTCAACAACACGTGAGTGTCCCTGTCCCTGTGGCCGACCCCGCGTGGATGAGCTGCCTCCTCCTTCCTCCCTCCTGCAGAGCCCCGAGCCCGGCCCCAGCCCTCCCCAGGGATGGGTGCTCAAAGAGGGATGTGCCAAAACTCGCACGGCCGCAGTGACTTGTCCGAGGACACCGGTGCTGGAGGCAATCATTCACCTGCTCCCACGGCCTCCCAGCCCTGCTGCTGGTCACTGTTGCCTTGTCACCAAGCCACCTCCTCTGCTTGCTGGCCCGTCTGTGCCCTCCAGTGCATAGCCATGTCCCCATGGGTCCCCTGTCCCCATCAGCACTCAGGTCCCTCTCCTTTGTTTGGACACTTCTCAGCTTTGCGGGTGCTTTCCCCTGTGCTTGCACGGTGTCTCTGATCTCAGCCTCTCTTGACTCTCTTTTCTCTCCTCTGTTCCATGCTGTCGTTTAGGAGAAAAGTGGATGTCAGGTGTGTATTGCAGATTATTACTATTATTATTGTTAGCAATCTTAAATGCCAGAAGCCCTTCTGCTGCCCATAGGGCAAGGTTGGGTGGAGCGGGGCTGGGAGGAGGTGGTTGCCCAATGGTCTTGTGATCAGTTGGGTTTGACCCCCTGAGTGACCGGGGCAGAGCAGGGAGCCCCTTCCTGTACCAGGGAGCTGCTCTATCCAGCACTGTATCCAGGAGCTCTGAACCCGGCCTGCTTTCCTTGTCTATACCTGCCCCACTGCAGTCCCTTTCCACTTGGCTCTCTGCTCCTTCCTGGCCGTTTTTGCTTTTATTTCTGCATTTGTAAATGTTACTTTGACTTTTTGTGAGTGTCTCAGGGGGCTCAAGCACTTCCTTAGGGATCTGGCTCCTGCTTGTTTGCTCTCCATCCTGGGTGTAGCAGCGCATCCATACTTGCTTCATAGAGCAGGGCTGGAAGACGCTCCTAACCTGATCCTGTATTAAACCCATGTGTGCTCAGTCCTGACATATGGCATACATGGTCTGGAGCCTGGCAGGAGGAACCAGTGTCAGGTCTGTGGGGTCTGCAGCTTCTGCTGGCCCCTCCACTGCTTCCTCCCAACCTGGGCACCCAAAACAGCTCTGCACGGTGAAAGGGTGGGAAGATGAGGGAACACCCCAGGGGTGATATTTCTGCTGCAATGGTTGGGCAGTGTTGCACAAACATGTGTTCAGTCTGATCCTTGTTCTCCTTGTTCCAATGCTGTTTATTAATGGTGATTCATTTAATCCGTGAAGTCCCGGATGTGCAGGGCTTCAAGAAAAGCCTGGATTTTGGGGGTTTGGTGTGTCTTGCTTCCACAGCATCAGCAGTATGTCAGCCCCAGGCTTGGGTTCTGGTTTGGGCTGTCACAAAGTGAGCTCTGCCCATTGGGGGTCCAGGTTGGGCCCATTTAGGGGTGTTTTTTCTTTATGCCTTATACCACTTATGGGGTTTCCATCCTTCTTTTGTCTCTGCTGCTGTTTGTCAAAGGCTCGGGCAGAGGGAAGGGTCGGGGTGTAACAGGTTCTGGGGAGCACAAGGGCTCTGTTTGGCAATGCAGCCCATCAGTGGAAGTGCAGATCTGGTTGCTGACCTGGTGTCTGCTATGGCTGTGTGGGTGGGATGTCTGCAGGCAGAGATGCAGTGCAGGAAGCTGCACAGTTGCTGCAGTGCTCAGAGGGGTAAATGCCTCTTCTCACTGAGGACCTGGGGCTGGCCCGGGAGCTGCTCCAGCTGCTGCACTTTGGGGACAGCAAAAGGCAGGCGTGGGATGGGTGTCCCCTTCCTCTGGGCTCCATGGCAGGGCACACTGGGTGCCCTGGGGGTGTCAGAGAGTGCTTGGGGTCAGCCTGGGAAGGGCTGCAGGAGCCCATGGCCATGAGTTGCCACCAGCAGCTTTGCAGGGAGGCTGCAGGTTTTGGATGCTCTGAGAGGGCTGGGGTTGTGCAGGGGAAGAGGAGAAGCCTCTGTGTCACTGCAGCAATCCAGCAGAGCTCAGGCTGTCTGCAGTGACCCTCTCTCAGCCTCCTGAATGGGCTGAATACATACACCCCCCAGGCAGAAGGGCTTTCATGGTACCATTTCCAAGGAAGGAGGTCTCCTCCCAGCCAGCTGGCAGCCAGCAGGGATGTGCTGGGGTATTTTGGGTAAGATTGTGCAGGGAATTGTTGAAATGCTTTGTTTTGATGATGATGATGATGATGATTTATTTTTTTTCCCCTCTGAGACATTTTTGGAATCGTTTGTGTTTGCTGAATTCCCAGCCTGCAGCCCTGCAGCCCGAGATGGAATAAAGCCACAAGGCAAAAGCTATTTTCTCTGGTCCCGTGGGAAAGGAGCACAAGCAGCCTCCTGTCCCCTTTGGAGCCACCTCAGGAAAGGGGCAGCAGCTCTGGCTGGGGAGCCCAAACTACCTGCCATGAGATGTGCTGGGGCTGGAAGAAGCTAAAACACCACCTGGGGCTACTGCAAGGCTTGGGGATGGGCTCTGGGATGGCCACAGAGCCCAGATCCCTGGGTAGGAGATGATGTCCAGAGGGTCCTTGCTTTTCCTCCCTTGATGCCATCACAGGGAGCTGGGGGCTGTGTTCAGCTTCTCCCATCCACTCTGAAGCATCACTGGTTTAGCTGGGACGAGCAAAAATCACAAGCTGCTGGTGTGCCTGGAGCAAGGATGGAGGTTTACACACCTGCAGGGGTCGGGGATAGGTCTGGATGTGGGATTTGCTGAGTGTTTTAGTGGTGATAGAGGTTATTAAAGCTTTTCTGTGGAGTGTTTGTGGACGTCCTGAGTCCAAGTTGTTGCATCCTTGTGGTGCTGTTCCCATGAATGCAGTTTTCCTGTAGCCTCGTCTCCCTCCTGGTCAGGATAAACGGACTCTGTCTTTGATGGGTGAGCAGATGCAGGTGGTGGGAGGAAGCTCTGCTCGCTGTGGGGAAGGGGAAGCCACCTCCTGCTGTCCTGTTGTTCGTTATTTGTTGTCCTTTCCTGCCCTGTCCTGTGCAGGAGCCCGCAGTGAGGAGGGCAGAGCAGGGAGAAGGCTCCGGCACCCTGCCAGCTCCTGGGGACACGCTTGGGGCCATTGTGCCTGGGGCAGGAGGGGTGATGGGGATGGCAGAGGGGCTCCTGCAGGGCAGAGCTGTGCTCAGGACAAGCACAGCGGAGTGCATGGCTCTGTGTGAGCTGCACTCATGGCTGTGCAAGTGCATCTCATGGTCAGGGGCTGCAGCCATGCAGGGGCCCTGTCCCAGCAGCACCCAAGCTGGATGGAGCTCACTGCATCCGCACTGGGCATCACCGCAGGGCAGGTCTCACCCGCCTGCCCAAACCTCTGCCCCATCTCTTGCTTTTCTGCAGCTTGTGTTTAACAAACTTGGGGTTTCCTGGTGCTTTTTTAACTACTGCCATCATTCTGTTGCTTTTCCCCATTGCCCTTTCCTCCCCTTGCCTGTTGCTCCTTGGATCCCCAGCGCTTCTCAACCTCCAGCCAGACCCCGTTGGCATTCAGGTGGCTCCAGAGGTATTTTAGCTCTGACTGCCCAATTTAAGTTATGTGGATGGGTGGCCCTGATACCAAGATCTTGTCCACACGGAGCCACAGGCAGGGGCTGGCAGGAGGAGCTTTTCTGTCCAGGGTCTGGGGGCTGCGGGGCTGGCCAGGGTGGCTCCTGGCTTCACACTGAGTGTGTTTTGGTTCTCTTGCAGGGAAGGTGACTGGTGGCTGGCTCATTCCCTCACTACAGGACAGACGGGCTACATCCCCAGTAACTATGTCGCGCCCTCAGACTCCATCCAGGCTGAAGAGTAATTGCCATCTTTTAGACAGTTTAAAGACAAGCGATAGCAAACGCACCCCGAGCGCTCCTCCTCCCCCTGCCCCTCTCCTGGGTTCTTCCTTCGTGTTGTTTTTTACCTGCTTTGAATATGCAACCCCCTTAAGTGTTTTCCTGCCTTTCTTTAAGGCCCATAGCAGAGAGGTGCGGTGAGCTTGCGCGGTGAAGGGATGAGCAGTGGCATGGCAGGGGCCATGGTGGACCTGGTATGCTTTTGGTCTGGTTTTTAGTCTTCATCGTGTGTGAGGATGCTGCCTGTGCAGATCAGGCTGAGCACAGAGGTGGCTGTCACACAGGGAGAGCAGGCAGGGGATGTAAGTCCCCGAGCAGGTGACACCTATGTTATAGAATCACAGAATGGTTTGGGTTGGAGGGGACCTTAGAGCTCATCCAGCTCCTGTCACAGGCAGGGACCCCTTCCACTGGAGCAGCTTGCTCCAAGCCCCTGTGTCCAACCTGGCCTTGAGCACTGCCAGGGATGGGGCAGCCACAGCTTCTCTGGGCACCCTGTGCCAGCTCCTCAGCACCCTCACCCATCTCCTTTGGGGAGGCTTTTGGAGTTGAGGCGTTCCCTGCTGTGCGGTGCAGGTTGTTCCTTGGTTGATGCTGTGTGCGGGCACGGCGCGCCCCAGTATGGTACCCACCATGGTGCACCACGGTACCCATAGCCCGAGCCCAGAGACACAGCCTGTGGTCTCTGCAGCGTGCAGCGGGGAGGCCAGGGCTGAGCCTGCTGCTGGCAGGCGATGGGCAGGCAGGGGGTGCCGGGGCTGAGCCGTGCCTTGCTCCCACAGGTGGTACTTTGGGAAGATCACGCGCCGCGAGTCCGAGCGGCTGCTGCTGAACCCCGAAAACCCCCGAGGGACCTTCCTGGTGCGGGAGAGCGAGACCACGAAAGGTGAGCGGGGATGGGGGGGACCAGCCCGGGGAGCCCCTCTCCAGGGGATGGGGGGCACCACACAGAGACCCTGGTCCCCTCAGTCACTGCATAGTGCCAGGTCTGAAGCACACAGAGAGGGAGGAGGAGGAAAGAGTTGAACCTTGTGGACAGGACCAGCAGGCAGGATGCTCTTTTTCCTGTTCTTCGGTGGGGTTTTGTGGTGGTGTTTGATTTTGGGGTTTGGGAGGTGGTGTTTTACACCCCCAAGGAGGTGGGTTTGGTTTTTCCTAGTCCCCAATGGCAAAACCTTGGGTATGTGTTTCCTGAGCAGCCAGGCAGAGGTGCTGCTGAATCTTTAGGTTCTTCTTTCAAGTCTAATGATTCTTCATTGCTGTTTTGTTCCCCAAAAGTGCAAGTTGTGATCTTCATGGTTCAGCTGCCTGAGGATGCTGTTTCTTACCTGCAAATGTGGTTTAGTTTGCCTCCAAAAGGCACCTTTGGGAAAAGCTCCTTGATGTTCCTTTCTGTTTTGATGCCTTGAGCTTGCCACTGTTTTATCCTGGTGGAAACAGCTCATTCAAGCAGCACATAAATCTTCCCGTCCGTTACTTGTGGAGTGCGGCGTTGCTCTCCTGTGGCCAGAGGAGGGACAGGCTGCCAAAGTGATGCCAATGGTGGGATTTGTGGAGGAGGGAGTTGGGTCCCTCGGCCCCTGGGCACTGCTCTGAGATGTTGGGGTTGTGGGTCAGCAGCTGCCCCCAGCCTGGTCCTGTCCCCTGCTTCCATGTCCTGTCATTGCTGTCTGAGCCACATCCATCCCTGTGCTATGGGAGCTGCTCACCCTCCTGCTGCCCCCCCCCCTCAAACCCAGTGGGGTCTCTTGCTTGGTGCCAGCATGGGGGACACGCTCCAACCCTGCCTGCTGGCTCCTCTGGGAGTGGGTCCCAGCCAGGAGCAGCATTCCTTGTGGAGGAAGCATCTGTGGTGCTGTGCACTGGGGAGAGGGAGCTGGGTGGGGGGGCCTGGAAGGGATGATGCCTCTTGTTAGCATGGCCGATGGGGATGCTGGGGGAGCAGTGTGCATCACCTGTGCCCAAATAACTGACCCCACAGCCACCTCCTTCTGCAGCAGGGGCTCTCCAGGAGACCCTTGTCTGTGCCAGCCTGGCTGGGGGCAAGGCTTGAAGGGCTGCTGTGCAGGGGGAAGGTATTGATTACATGGTGTGGCTGTAACCAGGGTATGTGCCACCCCTCCCTGGCACTAGGAGCTGCTCCCCATCCTCTGCAGCAGCCTGCACACCCAGTCCTGCCCCCCTGCACCCACCCCCTGGCGGGACCCCATGGGGGGCACCCATCTGCAGTGCATCCCCCAGCCCCTCCATCCTGCCCACAGGTGCCTATTGCCTCTCTGTCTCTGACTTCGACAACGCCAAGGGGCTCAACGTGAAGCACTACAAGATCCGCAAGCTGGACAGCGGCGGCTTCTACATCACCTCCCGCACCCAGTTCAACAGCCTGCAGCAGCTCGTGGCCTATTACTCCAGTGAGTGGTCACTTGGGGTGCCCATGGGGTCTGGGGGACACCCTGGGTGCTGTGCCTGCCCTCACTGCGAGATAGGTGCAGCATGGGGTTGGGGGACCCCAAACCAGTTGAGGGGGATGCTGGTGAAAAGCTGGTTGGGTTTTAGGGGAGAGGGTGAGGGTTGGGGTACGGGGTCTTAGGGGTGCTTCACAGGGAAGATGTGGGGTAAAGATGTGCCTAAATGCCCAAGTGTCACCCTGGTGTTGTCCCCTCTTGTGCTAGAACACGCCGACGGCTTGTGCCATCGTCTCACCAATGTCTGCCCCACTTCCAAGCCCCAGACCCAAGGCCTTGCCAAGGATGCCTGGGAGATCCCCCGGGAATCGCTGCGGCTGGAGGTCAAGCTGGGACAGGGCTGCTTCGGAGAGGTGTGGATGGGTAAGGACCGTTCCCACCCCACTGTCCCCATCTCACCGCCCGCATCCTCTCCCCAAGTGCCTGCAGTGGGGTGGGGGAGCAGGTGAAGGATGGGCCCCCTGCCCCATACACGTGTCCTGTGCACAGGGACCTGGAACGGCACCACCCGGGTGGCGATCAAGACACTGAAGCCCGGCACCATGTCCCCGGAGGCCTTCCTGCAGGAAGCCCAGGTCATGAAGAAGCTCCGGCACGAGAAGCTGGTTCAGCTGTACGCCGTGGTTTCGGAGGAGCCCATTTACATTGTCACTGAGTACATGAGCAAGGGTGAGCGCAGGAGGGATGCTGGGGAGCCTGAGCTCCTCTCCTCTGGACTGCTGTGACTGTGGTCTTCCTCACAGGGAGCCTCCTGGACTTCCTGAAGGGTGAGATGGGCAAGTACCTGCGGCTGCCCCAGCTCGTGGATATGGCAGCTCAGGTGGGTTTGTGCATCCCCAGGCCTCCTGCATCCCCTTCCAAAGGCACTGCCTGCCCGAGCATCTCCTTGGGCTGCTGGGGCTATGCGCTGTCGGGTCGGGAGGTTCTCTGCAGCCTCCCAATGGGTGCTCAGCCCAGAGCCAGGCTGCAGGCAGGGGCCATCATTTGCCTGTTCCTATTGCTGCAAACCTGTATCCGTGTGGGTTTTCTGGAGCAACCGGTTGTCCCACACCCAAGGAGGGGTCCTGCTGCAGAGCTGTTTCCCTTGGCAGTGCTGGGTGCTCCCAGGGACCCTCGTGTCACCCCGCCAGCCTTGGTGCCCCATGTGTTGGTCCCCACAGATCGCATCCGGCATGGCCTACGTGGAGAGGATGAACTATGTCCACCGGGACCTGCGGGCAGCCAACATCCTCGTGGGGGAGAACCTGGTGTGCAAAGTGGCCGACTTTGGCTTGGCCCGGCTCATCGAGGACAATGAGTACACTGCTCGGCAAGGTGTGTGCCCAGCGCTCCCCGGGGGTACCAGCACCAGCACTGGTCTCTGCTCCCCAGGGCTGGGTGTTGCATCCCAATGCAACACATGGCCCCGGTTGCAGCCCCTCACCCTGCCTGTCCTGCAGGTGCCAAGTTCCCCATCAAGTGGACAGCCCCCGAAGCTGCTCTGTATGGCAGGTTTACCATCAAGTCAGATGTCTGGTCCTTTGGCATCCTCTTGACTGAGCTGACAACCAAGGGCAGAGTGCCATACCCAGGTGAGGTATCCTGGGATATGGAGATATCCATATGGGATATGGGAGTGCCATACCCAGGTGAGTGAGTGCCATACCCAGGTGAGGTATCCTGGGATATGGAGATATCCGTATGGGATATGGGAGTGCCATACCCAGGTGAGTTATCCTGGGATATGGAGATATCCATACGGGATATGGGAGTGCCATACCCAGGTGAGGTATCCTGGGATATGGAGATATCCATATGGGATATGGGAGTGCCATACCCGGGTGAGGTATCCTGGGATATGGAGATATCCATATGGGATATGGGAGTGCTGTACCCGGGTGAGGTATCCTGGGATATGGAGATATCCGTATGGGATATGGGAGTGCCATACCCAGGTGAGATATCCTGGGAGGAGCCCCATCCCCATTGCAGTGCCCCAGCGCTCAGTGGCTCCAGAGACATCTATGCAGAGGAGCAAACTGGTGCAAAGTTTCTGGGCAGGGATGGTGGGCTCTGGGGCGAGCTGCTCCTGCCCAGATCACATCCTGCTCTGCTGGGGCCAGGTGGGCAGGCTCACAGCCACCCTGTCCCACTGTAATCCCCAAGCAAGGGGATGGGCTGGCAGGATGAGCACTGTTGGGCTGGGGGAGTCAGCAGGGTTTTCCCATAAGGCTCATCCCAGCATAATGTCCTCTGGGAAAGGTGTGGTGCAGGGTCTGGCCTGGCTCTAATCACTGCCCTATCTCCTCTGCCCGCACGCAGGGATGGTGAACCGGGAGGTGCTGGACCAGGTAGAGCGGGGGTACCGCATGCCCTGCCCGCCCGAGTGCCCCGAGTCCCTGCATGACCTCATGTGCCAGTGCTGGCGGAAGGACCCGGAGGAGCGACCCACCTTCGAGTACCTGCAGGCTTTCCTGGAGGACTACTTCACCTCAACAGAGCCCCAGTACCAGCCTGGCGAGAACCTATAGACCTGGAGCTCCTCCTGGCACCAGGGACGCTGCCATCCTCGCTATGGGGTGCCAGGGGCTGGCCTCCCCAGCGAGGAGCTGGGTTTTTGTGGAGCAGCCCTGAGGTGGGATGGGGCATCGTGTCCGGATGCGGCCAGGAGAGGCTCTGGGTGTCCCCATCACTCATTAAGGCTTCTGGCCCGTGTTTAATGAAGCAGCACCATCCCGCTGGCGAGAGGAGCCTGTGGGTGCCGGCAGAGCCGGCTCGGAGGGCGAGCAGAGCATCTCTTGATGAGAAACTTGGCTTCTGGGAGACCTTTTCCCTCCCCAGCAGCTCTGGGGTGAGCCTGGGGGAACTGGGGGGCAGCATCGCCCCACCTCGGACACATGGCCCCGATCTCCTGCACCCCCTTTTTAAATCAGCACAAATTTCCCTGCTCCGTCACCCATCCTCGGCTCTGGTTCTCCTGAGGGCGCTGGCAGGGACGTTTCACCATGGGGAAGGCACAACCCTGGGCTGGTTTGGATGGGGTGATGCACTGGTGTTGGGTGGCAGCAGAACACTGATGACCCCTGTTCCCCGGGCATCCCTCTGGCACTGGGGGTGCGAAATGTGGCTGCTCGTGGCTCCGGTGACCAGCATCATCCCATGGGAGCACCCGGGTGCATGTTCACATCTTCCAGCTGCATCTGTTCCCCCAAGGGACCTGTCTGTGGGAGCAGCACTGGGGGTTGCCAGCAGAGCCCTCACCCAGCCCTGTCCCCCTGGCGGCACTTTATGCCACTGAGCATTCCTGGTCTTCCAGCTGCCCTCCCCAGCTCTGCCACCAGCAGCATCCCCTGGGCTGGCCCTGCCACCGAATCCGGTGCCACCACCGGCTGGGTGCATGGCACGTGTGAGTGTTTTGGGGAAATACTCATCTTTCACAGATGCTTTTATCCACCCTGTATGTTTTTAGCTGCCTTCCCTCTACCCCTCACATCTCAACCACCGGGCTGCAGTCCCCGTGCAGTGGGAGCATCTGCAGCCATGGGCTGCCATCCTGGAGGAGAGTCCTGGGGAACGCTGTGCTGCGCCATTTGCATCCTCATCTCCCCCCTGCTTGTTCCCAAGGGCCTCAGCCCTGTTTCAGTGGTGGGTGGCTTGCCATGCTGTTTTCCCGCCCCCCCCCACATCCCATGGGGCTGAACCCCGGTGGGGTGGCACCAGCCCCTGCGCTCTTCTGTCCAGCACCTGCTTGTACATAGCTCCCGAGCGGTCCCTGCACCTCCCAGACATTGACTTTGTTGCATGTGTTGCTTCTTCCCCTCTCCCGTGGCTATTCCCAGCTGGAAACCCTTTGCCATGGTGGCTCACAAGGCTTTGCTCCATCACCTCTTGGGTCCTGGGTGTCCTGGCTCAGAAACAGGCTGTTTGAATGCTCTCCTGCACCAGGGGTGGGATGGGCACTGGAGGAGGTGATAGCACGCACTGGTGTGAAGGACCCGGGAAGGGAAGCCAGCAGCTTTACCTACCTCTTGGTCCTTGGGCTTTCTTTGCCACCCCATCACTTGTGGGATTGGGTTTCCCCCCAGCACAGCCTCCTTGCAGGCAGCAAACCCCAAACCATCTTTCCCCAGCCCTTGCTGCAGTGCCAGTGTCCCATGAAAGCCGGGTGGGAGCTGAGCATGGGCATGGGGGTGACCAAAACCACCTCCCAAACTCACACCAGAGCAGGGCCCAGGCGCGCCACTGCTCCCACAGCTCACCAGCCACGGTTATTTATCAACCAAGTGCTCGTTGTGTTGGTTGGTGGCTCCTTTTCAATGAGTAAAACCATCAAAACCAGCTTGAACAGACTGCAGCAGGATGGAGAGATCCTGCTGGCTTGGAGAACAGTGACTGGTTTAATGGATTGCTGGGTTTTCATCATTTGGGGACCTGGAGCCTTTTCTCCCCACACTTCCTCACAGGGTTGCTGTGCCTGCGTTAGGGCAGGGACCCTCCAAATCAAGATGTTCTGGGTCTTCCCGTGTTTGCATCCCTGGGACAGGCGGCTGCTGCATCCCCATCAGCACTGCCAGAGAAGCCCTGTCCCAAGGGGTGGCTGTGCCATAGCTCTGCCTGAGCGACACAAAACCCCCAGCACCGGGAGAAACCCCTTAAAGCCAACGTGCAGAAGCCAGATTTGACCCAAGAGCTGGGGGGAGAGAAGGCAAACGCACATGTTCGGTTTGGCCTTTGGTTGTCTGCAGCACGCACGGGGTCTTGCACACATGCAGCAGGCTGTACCCGTTGGTTCAGCAGGAGCGCAGCCTTGGCACAAGGAGCACCCCGGGCTGGTTTGATTCCCCATGGCTTTTGGCAAGCTCTGACAAAGGAGCTGTGCTGGGGCTGAAGACAGCAATGACCCTGGAGGAGCCCTGCTGTGTGAGCCATGCTGTCTGCATGTCCGTGTGTCCATCCATGTTTCTGCGGGACCCAGCATCTCCGGACTCGCCGCTGCAGCCAGCAAGACCCAGAGGCTCCAGGGACCAAGCTCTGCTCCATCACCATTGTTTGCCACTTCCTTTTTAAGCCAATGAACTCCAGAGGGGAGCCCCAAAGGGAGGATGCTCTTTGGCTTCCCCGGGGTCAGTAATGTCCTACAAGTCACCCTCCTCTGCTCACAGCAATTTTTTAAGCAGTGTTTTGTAAGATCTCCAACCGACTATGCAGAGAACATGTGGGTCTGTGTCTCTCTCCCCAGCTCCCCTCTCCCCCCCTGCCCTTTTTGGTGTCTACGTAAAATATTTAGCTTTTTTTCTTTTTTTTTTTTTGGATAATAATAAAATTTTGGAAAAAATGCCCTATAAAAAGGCCCAGCTTTGTGGGTGGTGGTGGGTGGAGATGCTCTGAAACCCGAAAGTTGATGTAAATACTTTGCAGTTTGATAATTAAATACAAACAGACCTCACACATGCAGCAAGAAAGCGTAGCTCATGTATGAGAGGATGTCTCAGCATCCCTGTGAGGGGGCTGGTGGTTCTCAGAGCACATGTAGTGCCTGTGTGTGGCTCCTGGTGCTTCCGATGGTTCTTATGGCCAATGATTCTGGGATCTGGTGCCCCTCCTGTGCTGCTGGAGCCATCCCCATCTGCCCCCGTGGGCTTGTGGTCCAGCAAAGCCCCAGTGCCTGTTTCTTTAAGAGGAGCCTTATCCCTTGTGTCCCTCTTGCTCTGAGGGACAGGGACAGCTCCTGGACTGCTCCAGTGGGGATGCACTGCCATGGTGGGAATGGAATGGAGCCAACGTGTTCCGAGCTGAGCCAGCCTGCATCACTGGCGGGATCCCAGCCGCAGCACCGATGCTGTGGCACACCCCATCAGCACACAGCATTACCCATGAGCGACCCACAGGTGCTTCCCAGCCTCTGTGTGCTGGGACACCCGGGTTCCTGCCCATGGTCCCACAGGTCTGTGGGTGACAGGGTGACAGTGGGCAGCAGAGCTGGCTGCCAACCCCCATCAGTTGGGTGGGGGGGGATGGACAGGATGAGGGGCAGCCCTCCCATCAGCACAATCTGCTTCATCAGCAGCTACAAGGAGCAGGCCTGCTTTGGCAGGGTAATTAGGAGCTGATTGGGATCCCTCATTCTGTGATTAATTGATATATAGCACAGTGTGGGGGGAGCAGCCCCTCTGAAAGCAGGGTTGATGCTGCTGCTCCTTCTCTATCACCATAGCCCAGGGTGATTTTAGTGCTCCAAACCCCTGGATCTGCCTGCTCCTTCCCCCTCTTCAGGCTGGTAAGTGGCTTCAGTCTTTATCACCTTAAATGTTTAATGCTTTATGGTTTGCTTCGCTCTAAAGCATCTGAGTGACTGAGGGATTATCCGTGTGTGATGTGTGGGCAGGGGTGGGTTGGTGAGGTCATGCCTGGGAGGGAAGCTGCAGCCAAGGCTCCTCCAGCTCTCGATTTTGCACCTTTGGCATTGCTGCTGGGGACCAGGGCAGCCACGGAGAGGATGTGCAGAGGAGGAGGAAGAGGCAGGGGTGCTGTGGGGAGGGCAGGGGGCTGCAGTCCAGCTTGAGCCCTGGGGCAGCGCAAGTGTCTCTGGTGGGTCATGGCCAAGGGATGAGGGGGATGCATTCAGGACTTCCAAGCACTGCCTAAAGCATTGCTCGCTTCCTCTTCTCGTTGTCCCCTTTGCTCCATGTCTGCTCCTCAGCCTCAGTGGTGGTTGAGGCATCTTAAGAAGATGGTCAGGGCAATCAGCAGTACCTGCAGCCCACCCCGGCTGTGCTTGGTGGCTCTTGTGCCATGGAGTCACCTCCTTGGTGACGCCCCCCTCTGCTCCTAAGCTCTCTGCAGAAGCCAGCCCTGTGAAGCAGTATGGGAAGGGGGTGACATTAGCCTGGAGGGGCAGAAGCTTGCTGGTCCAGGAGGTGTGAGGTGGGAATCGCTGGTTGGGATCCGCTTGGATCAGCAGGAGCCCCTGCCAGGCATCCCCAGCCTGAGCCAGGCAGATGGGCCTGGGGATTACAGCACATGCCTCCTTTAATGGACTTAATCTTGCTGTTTGCTTCGTGCCTGGGAGAGGATTTGAGTGTTAGGGTGGGGGCTGTGGCTACCCCCGGGTCTGGTGAGGTGGTGGGGGTCCTGTGCTGGGCAGTTTGTGCTGGCAGTGGGTTTCTAAAGTGCTGAGAGTGAGTTGTTTGGTTTGAACATCCCCTTCACTATCCCCAGTGCCATCGAGTCCTGGCTCTTGGTCCAGGCTCCCAGAGGGTAAATGTTTGAGTATGGAAGGGGCAGCCCTGAAGTGCTCCATGTGCTGAGGATCCCCTGGAGCAAAAATCCTGGGGGCTGTGGTCTGGCTCTGGGGTCCCTCTCACAGCCCAGACCTGGTCTCTGGGGACAGGAGCAGGGTGGTGGTTGTTGAAGGGCTGCTCACAGCCCCAGTGCCAGGCGCTCAGGTCATCCCCTGAGCAGCAGGTCTGGGTGGCACCTGAGCCATCTGTCCTCCCTTGCCCTCCTACCACAGGATTTACCTTTGCTCAGAGGAGCAGCAAAACCCTCTTGCCAAGAGTTAATCTCCAGCCTCCGGAAGGAAGGGCTGAAGTCCTTACCTGACGTGTAGCTTACCTCCCATGGTGGCTGAGGGCTAGGAAACCATAGAGACCAAAGGATGCTGGCAGGGCAGGGCTCTCTGTGGCCCTGAGTAACGTTTGTGGCTTCCCTGGCTGGGGGCATTGGCTGGCCCAGCACAAGGGGATGAGGTTGGAGGCTGTGGGATCCTGGAACTATAGCCATCAGACCTGCACCTCTGGACTCAGCTGCCTCTGAGCTGGATGGTGGGTACCTTCAGCCCAAAGAGCTCCTCAATGGCATCACCCTTTCTCCTCTTTCTGCTGCTAAGTAATAAGGCCACATTGTTGGATTGCCTTAGGGAGAGCATCCAGACAGCAGTCACTAATCACCTAGCAATATCC